TCTTTGACATATGAGGGTGCCCTTGTATTTGGGGCATAGATATTCGGTATTGAAATTTCCTCTTGGTTAATTTTTCCTGTGACTAATATGAAATGTCCTTCTTGGTCTCTTTTGACTGATTTTAGCTTGAAGTCTATTTTATTAGATATTAGGATAGCTACACCTGCTTGTTTGTTAGGTCCATTTGATTGGTATTTTTTTTTTCCCAACCTTTTACTCTGAGATGATGTCTGTCTTTGAGGTTGAGATGCGTTTCTTGTATGTAGAAGAGGGATGGATTTTATTTTCATATCCAATTTATTAGCCTGTGCCTTTTTATGGGTGAGTTGAGTCCATTTACATTAAGGGATATTAATGACCAGTGGTTGCTATCTCCTGTTAATTTAGTTTCCATCGTTGGTGATGTTAATTTGTGTGTTTTTTTTCTTCTTTGGGATTTGCTGTAATGAGATCATCAATTGTGTGTGTTTTTGTTGGTGTAGCCATCTTCCTTGGGTTGGAGTTTTCCTTCTAGTATTTTGTGTAGGGCTGGGTTTGTGGCTAGATATTGGTGAAATCTAGATTTGTCAGGAATATCTTGTTTTGTCCTTCTTTGGTGATCAACAGTTTTGCTGGGTATAGTAGTCTGGGCTGGCATCCGTGGTCTCTTAATGTCTGCATAATGCTTGACCATGACTTTATGACTATCAGTCTCCAATGAGAAGTCAGGTGTAATTCTGGTAGGTCTACTTTTATATGTTACTTGGCCTTTTTCCTTTGCAGCTCTTAATATTCTTTCTTTACTCTGTATGTTTAGTGTTTTGATAATTATGTGGCGAGAGGACTTTTTTTTTGGATCCAATCTATTTGGAGTTCTGTAAGCTTCTTGTGACTTCATAGGCATATCTTTCTTTAGATAGGGAAAGTTTTCTTCTATAATTTTGTTAAATAAATTTTCTGTGCCTTTGAATTGAACTTCTTCTCCTTCTTCTATACCTATTATTCTAAGATTTGACCTTTTATAGTGTCATGGATATTTTGGGTTAAGCTTTTGTTAGATTTAATGTTTTCTTTAACTGATGTGTCTATTTCCTGTTTTATTTTCAGCACTTGAGATTCTCTCTTCCAGTTCTTGTATTCTGTTGTTCATACTTGCATTTGTGGTTCCTGCTCTTTTTCTCATGATTTTTGTTTCTATAATTCCTTCGGCTTATGTTTTCTTTATTTTTTCTATCTCAGTTTTTAAGTCCTGAATATTTCTTTTATATGTTTTGAGTTCTTTTTCTTGGTTTTCTTTAAGTGATTTGCTGATATCTTCCAATTTTTTGTTTGTTTTTTTTTCTCCATTTCTTTAAGGTAATTTCTCATTTCATCTTTAAGAATTTGAAACATTCTCTTGAGGTTATTTTTTAGATCATTTTCTTCTGGTTCATCCGTATTTGGTTGTTCAGGTCTTACTTTTGTAGGGTCTTTAGGTTTTACTGGTATTGTGTTGCTCTTTATGGTGTAGCATGTGATGTTACCTTTTCTACTCATCTTTTCCTCTAATAGGTGTGGTTGGGGCTGTCTGAGATTCTGTTGAATAATCTTCTAGGTGCCAGTGAATCCAAAGCTAAGATGGTTTTCCTCGTGGTACAGTCAGTGTCACAGTTCTAGTTACCCCGTTGGTTATTCCTGTTCCTGGAGATAGCTCAGTGTTCCTTTGCTTTGTTCTGCTCCCTTAGAGTTTGCTGTCTCAGGCCTACTTTAGCCTAGGCTGCTGGTTTTGATCTGTTTTTGTAAATCTTGGTCTGGATCTCCTCTTGCAGAAGTCACTGGCTTAGAGTTAGATCTGTTCTGGTGGCTATTGCTGACTCTGGATCTGGTCGCTGGTTCAATCCTGATCTGTCTGTGTCCTGGGACTGGGTTTGCTCCCAGCCTCTGCTCCTGGTGGAGCTTGTTCTCTCTATGTCTTAGGTAACTGAGACAGTTCTACTCCAGTTCAGTGGAGGTTGAAGACTCTGAGTCAGGTTGTTGGCTTAATCCTGGTCTACCAGAGTCCTAGGACTGGGTTGGCTCCCAGGGCTGGGTTTGCTCCTGGCTTCTGCTCCTCTAAGATTTACCTTTTTGTAGTAATAGGAGCGGCGGGGCTGCGTTCCGGCTGCCCCGGCTCCCGCATGGCTAGCTTATGCCCGAAATAATTACATGGAAACTGTATTTTTTTAAACACTGCTTGGCCCATTAGTTTTAACCTCTTATTGGCTAGCTCTTACATATTGATCTAACCCATTTCTGATATTCTGTGTAGCACCACGAGCTGGCTTACCAGGAAAGATCTTAACCTGCGTCTGTCTGGAGTGGGAGAATCATGGCGACTGCCTGACTTGGCTTCTTTCTCCCAGCATTCTCTTCAGTCTACTCCGCCTACCTAATTTTCTGTCCTATCAGGGCCAAGCAGTTTTCTTTATTAATTAACCAATGAAAGCAACAGATAAGATACAAGACCCACCTCCATCACTTTTTTATTATGTATGCAGTGTTCTGCCTGCAATGCCGGCCAGAAGACACAAGAATGCATTATAGATGGTTGTGAGTCACCATGTGGTTGCTGGGAATTGAACTCAGAACCTCTGGAAGAAAACCAGTGCTCTTAACCTCTTAGACATCTCTCCAGCCCCCGAAGCTTGTGTTTTTCAAACAAGCTCTCACTATATAGTTTTGGCTGTCCCTGTGTTACCCAGATTGGCCTTGAACTCATTCTGGTCTGCCTGCCTGCCTCCCCAGTGCTGAGATTAAGGGCATACACTACTACCATACACCACTACCACTGGCACTTGAATTTGTCTTTTTTTTTTTTTAATATTTACTTAACTTTATTTTATGTGCATTTGGTATGAAAGTTTCAGATTCCCTGGAACTGGAGTTACAGACAGTTGCGAGCTGTCCTGTGTGTGCTGGGAATTGAACCCAGGGGAGAGCAGTCCGTGCTCTTAACCACTGAACCATTTCTCTCCAACCCCAAACTTGTCTTTTCTTAAACAACTCAAGGGCAAGGGCCAGATAGTTTTACTTTATATTATTCTACTTTTACTAAGATTGGAGGTAAAGCTTGTTTTGGTTAGAGATGATGAGAAAGATGACATTTGAACTGCAGGTAGGGAGTGGTTCCTACTCCAGTAACTAAACAGGAGGTGATGCATCTGGTCCGAGTGGGAATTTCTCACGTAAATAAAAACAAAACTAGCGCTACATTACATCTCTCTCCACCCCTGTGCTTGCAGTCCTGCGACGATGGAGTTTCAAGCTGTGGTTATGGCCGTTGGTGGGGGATCTCGGATGACAGACTTGACTCCCAGCATTCCCAAGCCTCTGCTTCCAGTTGGAAACAAACCTTTAATTTGGTACCCACTGAACCTGCTTGAGCGCGTTGGATTTGAAGGTGAGCTGTGGCAATGATAGATGCAGTCATAAAACTTGCGTGTGTTATGTGTGTTTGATCCCAATAATTTGTCAGCATTATGAGAGTGAGAGAGAATGGATGATGGCAGACTAGGGCTTAAAGTTTGCTGGAGACTGGATGCTTAAGGTGGGGACCCAGGAGCACCCTTTGACCATATGGGAAAAGAATGAAAACATCATGCTAAACAAAGCCGTTAAAGAAGGGGTTCTCCACAGTGATCCAAGGTGAGCCCTATAAGGATATCAGAAAGACACGATTGGGCATCTAAATGCCTGCTTGTCAGTACTTGCTGAGACTCTATAATGTGCTGAGTAATATTTTAAGCATGAGAATAGAAGTTTGAAAAGACAGCTCAGGCACTGACTTCTAGAACCTTCTTTAAGATTATAGGAGGAGTTTTTGTCACTTTTCACTTGGATTAGATTAGATGGCTGATGATGGCATTAAATGGGAAGCAGACTATAAGACAGGGAACAGGCTTCAACAAAGATAATAAGTTCAGCTTTGGCCACAATGAGTTTGACGTTTCATTAAGTAGAATGAATCAGAATGCAACACATCAGGGTGCCAGATCCTAGGGCCCAGACTGCTGCAAGAGGGTTCATTCAACTGTGAGAGTTAGATAGGCCCATAAACATTTCTATGCAATAGTCTATGTAGACAGAAGTTTCTCCCCAGCCCAGTCACGCAGCATTCTGTCCTAAATAAATACACAGAGGCTTATAATAATTATAAACTGGTCTATTAGCTCAGGCTTATTACTAACTAGCTCTTAGAACTTAAATTCACTCATAATTCTTGTCCACGTTTAGCCATGTGGCTTGGCACCTTTTATTAATAAGGCATTCTTTTTTTTTTCAAGGTTTCTCTGTGGCGTTGGAGCCTGTCCTGGAACTAGCTCTTGTAGACCAGGCTGGCCTCGAACTCACAGAGATCTGCCTGCCTCTGCCTCCAAAGTGCTGGGATTAAAGGCATGCGCCACCACCGCCCGGCCTTAGTAAGGCATTCTTATCTTGCTTCCTCTGCCTCTGACTGGTGACTCACTCTCTGCCTTTCTTCTTCCCAGAATTTTCCTGCTCTGGTTGTCCCACCTATACTTCCTGGCTATACTGGCCAATCAGCATTTTATTAAACCAATATAAGTGACAAATCTTTACAGTGTACAAGAGTGTTATCCCACAGCATTTCCCTATTTTTTTTTTCAAAACAAGAACCCTGAATCTAATCTCTTTTGTTCAGCTTTTTTCCCCAACCTTTATCCAAAACAACTTGTAACCAACATGCTAAACAAAGACAAACACCCATAATCCCCCTTTTGGAAATGTGGGCATTCTTCCTGTTACTTGGGAGTGCTGGTAATCTTATGGAGACCCAAAGAAAATTTAGGATTATGGTCAAGTCCTAACTAGACTTTTCTGTGAGGCTTGATCATCTCAGCCAGCATCCTTGAAGCTGTTCTGGATGCAGAACTCAGAGGAAACTGCAACAGAAGTGCTCTGAAATGTTGGATCATCTGGGCCATCTGTTTCCATGGAGATTTTCAGAGGATCTTCCTCAATCAAACCTTAGTTTTCCTAATCAAGAATGAATCCACAACCTCTCATTTCCTGGAATGATACACAAAAGATCAGCATGGCCTCTGCACAGGGCTGTCAAGCAAATTTATGAAGCATTTCATTTTTTTTTCCTTCTTCTGCTTTCCAGCACCTCTGGAAGTATGGATTTTGTAAGGCCAGCTGTTATTTTGTGAATTTGTTGTTACCGTTTTCCCATGGAGCAAAGGCATTGGAGGCAGAGATAAAGAGCATTGCAGTTGTTCCAGCTCCTCCCTCCATAGCCTTCACTGTCTGCTTTTCCTGCACCTCAGGCTTTGGTCCTAGGCATTGCTGCAGGAAAGGAAAGAGGGGGGAAGGGTTGCACAGATAGACCTCAGCCAAATTGGCTGGCTTCTTAGGAGTCATTTTCTTTCTTCCCCTTGAAGGGGAAACAGCTTTTTTTCCCTGGTACATTTAAAGCTCCCCAACTCTAGGGCAGTGCCAGTTCTGGACAAGTGCCACTGCATCCCAGAATGCTCAGAGGGCTGAGCTTCTTAACCCTGAAGATGAAGTTCACTGTTGGCCACTGCCAGGTCTGACTGATGTTTTAAGGATATTGGTGCATCATGTAGGAACTGTATTATTAACCCATTCAACCTGTAATTGGTGATGTTTTCATATCATTTTAAGAGATAGGGGGGCAGGTGTATAAAAATACTTGTACAATTTTAAATATCACAATTAAATGTAAGCTGGTTTTCCACAAAAAACATACATTAAAAAGGCTCGGTAATATTAGCAGTTATAATTTTTGTTTTGACTTGAGACAAGTTCTTAGTCATGCTGGTCTTGAACCTGATGTGTAGATGAAGCTGGCCTTGTTCCTGATTCTCCTGGCTCCACCTCCGGAGTGCCGGATTGCGGGTCTGTGCTGCCACAACAGAGCACATCTGACCAAACGATCGAAATTGTCACGGTGAATGAATTTCTGTGTTTTTCTGTTATTTCTTTCATCCTGTAGAAGTCATTGTAATTACAACCAAAGATGTCCAGAAGGCTCTCTGCACAGAATTCAAGATGAAGATGAAAGCAGACATCGTTTGCATTCCCGAGGAGGCTGACATGGGGACTGCAGATTCTCTGCGCCACATATATCCAAAACTCAAGGTAAAAACTATTTCTTGACTTTATTTGTATTGAAGATGAATAATGTATTGTTTGGCAGTGCTTTATTGTTTACAAAAAACAGGGTCCCACTATGTAGCACTGGCTGGCCTAGAACTTGCAGTGTAGATTAGGCTGGCCGAAAACTCACAAGAGCTCTGCCTACTTCTCCCTCCTGAATGCTGGGATTAAAGGTCTGTGCCATCATACTTGGCCTTAGTTTTTTTTTTTTTTTTTTTTTGGTTTTGTTTTGTTTTGTTTTTTGAGACAGGGTTTCTCTGTGATTTTGGAGCCTGTCCTGGAACTAGCTCTTGTAGACCAGGCTGGACTCAAACTCACAGAGATCCGCCTGCCTCTGCCTCCCGAGTGCTGGGATTAAAGGCATGCGCCACCACCGCCCGGCCTTTTTGGGGTTTTTTTGTTTTTCATTTTATTTTATTTTTTTGGTTTTTTCGAGACAGGGTTTCTCTGTAGCTTTGGAGCCTGTCCTGGAACTCCCTTTGTAGACCAGGCTGGACTCGAACTCACAGAGATCCACCTGCCTCTGCCTCCTGAGTGCTGGGATTAAAGGCATGCACCACCACTGCCTGGCTTGGCCTTAGTTTTTAAGACTTAAAAAATATACTTTATTTTTATCTGTTTTGAGACAGTTTCATGTAGCTGAGGATGATCTTAAGCTCTGGATTCTCTTGTCTCTGCTTCTCAAGTGCTGTGATTACAGGCTTGTACCAACGATCCTAGTTTAATATATTTTCATATCACATTAATTGTTGCCCATTTAGGTAACATAGTCTGCTTTCCAAGTAATAATATATCCTTTTTTTTTTTTTTTTTTTTTTTTTTGGTTTTTCGAGACAGGGTTTCTCTGTAGCTTTGGAGCCTGTCCTGGAACTAGCTCTGTAGACCAGGCTGGTCTTGAACTCACAGAGATCCGCCTGCCTCTGCCTCCCGAGTGCTGGGATTAAAGGCGTGCGCCACCATCGCCCGGCTTAATATATCCATTTTTGAATATGTTTATAGCCTCACTTTGTAGTCCAGCCTGGAATGGAATTCTTTATGGTCCAGGCTTGCGTTAAATTCATAGTGATCTTCCTGTCTCAGCCTCCCGAATTCAGAAATTGAAGGTATGCACCTGGCTTAAAATAAAATCATTGGCCAGGCAGAAGTGTATCTTTGAGTTAGGAGCCCAGTCTGGACTACAGAGGATATCTTAGGGCTATTACACAGAGAAACCCTACCTCAATAAACAACAGTAAGAACAATAACCAAAAGACATAAACAAGCACAATTCGTGTGTGTGTCCGTGTCCGTGTGAAAGTCTAAGGAGAGCTCTCTGTTGGGGTCCTCGGTGCCGCCTTAGGCAGAACTCTCACTTCTGCTGCTGCTGCTTCCCTCGGGCTGACAGCATCGCGCAAGTGCGGGGATTTCTGGCTTGTGTCACTGCATCTGTCGGGCTTTTTATGTGGGCTCCAACCACCAAACCCAGGTCTGGCTTCTGAGGGTAGCATGTTCACTCCGGTGTCTCCGTAGCGCTGTTCTGCTTTGTTTTGGGATAGATGGTCTTCTTACATTCAGGCTTTCTTCCAAGCCGACATCCTACGGCATCAGCCTCCTGAGGGCTGGAGCCTGTATCACTGTACCCGATTGCCTCACTTTCAAAGTCGCTTATATTCTGTGTTTATTATTAACTGCCCTCTGTCTTTCCAAAAGGAGCACCGTTTCCTATGTGATAATCCTCTCGGGAACCGTCCCTTTCTCCTCTTCCAGCTGCACCGTGGGCCTGCGCAGAACTGCCCTGGGCTGGGCTTTACGTCTTTTTGAGAATCTCCTCCTCTTTCCTGTGTTACCTGCCCTTGTGCCTAGGTTTCATTCCCACCGTTCTTGGTTTATTCCCTTATTTCTGAGGAACCCAGGTCTTATTGGCTTTTTTAAAAAAAAATACTTAAATGTTCTGAGAATTTTCATGCTCTTGAGTGATGAGTTAGATTTTATAGTATTCTGAGTTAGTTATATTTTTTTAGAATTTTTTTTTACACTAAGCACCAATAGTAAAAGAAAGATTTCCTTGACTTCTTCGCCCCTTCCCCAGTCTTCCCTTTCTCTGAGGCCTCCTTTATGCTGGGGCTTCTTACTTCAAACTCGGCCTCACAACAACTTCTGACCAAACCTGTGACTCTTCTGATCCTTAAGAACCACAGTGAAGACAGCCACGGGTTCAGCTCATTTTCCAGAATTTTTAGATGATCCAATCCACTAGTTTTCCAACACCAGAATCCTCCACACTGAAGAGGATGTTTCCTTTACCCCACCCCCACCCACATACGTCCGTCTCCGGAGGGTTTACAGCTGGCAAAGTATGTTTCGGAAATTAGAGCTTCGCCTGGAGTGTGGGGAGGAAGAGTGTGTGTTGGGTGCCAGAGTCTCCGTTGGTGCCTTGAGTGACCAAAACATTGAAAATACTATGTCTCTGGGTACAGCCAGGTGCGCATGACTAGTGAAAACTGGTTCTACTTAGAGTACAGCGATGGAGTGGCTTGGAAGCCAGAAGTCAGGCGTGTACCAGGCGCCCTCTAGAGGAGTGTTGGGAAATGCTGCCTACATGGGCTTGCTGAGTTGGGAAAGCTTCGTGATTTAGGAAGCTTTACTTCTAATTGCAGAAAGAGTGGGAGTTTGTAATGGTGGCGATGTGAGGAGTGAGAATAGGATAGAATAACTCCATTTTAACAGTTGAGGAGTTACTCTAAAGATTAAATACCAAGGGCTATTTTAAACCCATGTTATGGGAAGACTTCCCTCAGAATAACCTTAAACATCTGAAACTTTAACTTTTATACAAGTTTTTATTTGTTGGAAATTTACCAGGAGAATACATATCAGTAAAATAACAATACATTTTCCCCAAGATGATAACCTAATTACAGTTTGATTTCTTTTTCTCTTGTTTTTTGTTTGTTTGTTTGTTTGATTGGTTGGTTGGTTGATTGGTTGGTTGGTTTTAGTTTTTGGGTTTTGGGGGGGGTTGCTTGTTTGTTTTTGTTTTTTTGGCATTATACAATCTCTGTGTAGCCCTGATTGTCCTGGAACTCACAATGTAGACCAGGCAGCCCTTGAACTCAGAGTGCTGGGATTTACGGTGTGTGCTCTCTTCCTTTAAAGACAGGGTCTTGCTATCTAGCCCTGGCTGACCTGGGACTCAGTGTGGAGACCAAGCTGTCTTCAAATTTGTGGTGATCCTCCTGTCTCTGACTCTCGCGTGCTGGGATGTCAGGCATGCACCATCACACCTGGCAAGGTTTAATTTAAAAACAAAAAATAAAAAAAGAAAAAGAACTATTTCAGGGAGAAAGATCCAGCAGGTGGGAAATGGGGTGGGGTGGGGATTGGAAACAACAAAGGCCTGCATTCTGATAACAGCTAATTGTTTGTTCCCGTGTGTGAAATTGCGGGGGGGGGGGGGGGGGGGGGNGGGGGGGGGGGGTGAAAACAACAGAGGCCTGTATTGTAGTAATAGCTAATTATTCACAGGTCTCTGCCTGGAACCTGCCTGAGCACTTCTGAGGATACTACTTAAGTTTCATATCAGTATGTCTGAGAAAGTAATTTATTACCTTAGAAATTTAATACCTGTTCTTAGAGACTGCCCTGAAGTAGAATTAATTTATTAGCCAATTACGGTCACAAGGATATAAAATTTATTTTCCACAGGACTAACCAGAGCAGTTGTTCTGAAGATCTCAAGAGAGTATTCATATCTAGTAATATATCTGGATTTCTAATCCACACAGCCACCTTAAAGATAGACAACATGAGTTTGCTTTACTATGGAGGAACTTGACCTTCTCTCTTGAGAGATCTTAAATAACCTACTCCAAGAACATTCCTGCCTGAGTCTGATCCAAAATTAGACCCTGCCCTTGAGAGGGCTTTGCTTTTGAGTTTTGACTTTTTAAGACAGGATCTTATCATTGCCCAAGCTAGCCGCTGA